CTTTTCCTCACCATACGCGCGGCGATCGAAATTCCGCAAATCTTACATCACTGGGCACCGTCCTTTAAGTCCATGATCTGTACTCTATCTATAATATCTCTATGCCTTCAGGTCCATGCTCAGAGCACATGCATATACGCCGCCATGTTAAATTTACGACTTCATTAGGACACCGTATTTTCATTACGGAGTGTCCACATCTGTTTAGAAGATCGAACATAATTTTCATCAAAATTTTTTCCAATTTTTCCGATCATCTTAACCGTGTGTTAGTAGCTACATGAGTAACATAATTCGATTAAAATATTCACGTATGTACGTTGTAGACTAAGCGTGTTGATGATAGTGGGACAGTAGTAAAAACCATTAAGAAAACGAGAATGATAGCGATGATGATAGCTGATAGCTGGCGCTTCGTGCCGTCGTGCAAGTGCAAAGTGCAACAGTAACAATAACGGCGATCACGGCTGGTAATAATCAGTAATAGTGCGCGGTAGTCACGGTTAGTCGCGATGTTGTAACGATAAAGAAGTCTGATATGTCTACGTACATAGTACTTATGAACGTTTATTTACTGACATTAGATTTTTCGTCGTGCTGAGTAATGTCAGCATTTAAAAAATGAAGATTTGTGTAACGTGTATCTATTGGTCGTTACTTTTCATATCTGTTGCTTCCAGGCAAGTATTACATCTTTACGTACATAGTTAATATTTATTGAATTCTCGACAATTTTCAACAGCGCTGTTTTTTTATAGTATACGCATTTACGGTTTATCGGTATATTTCGCTTGCGATTGAAGATACAAAGATCGAGAGAAATGTGAGGTTACGTGAAATTTCCTTTCGTGTTCAATACATGTGTGAAATACAAAAATCTATTTGAATTTAATTAGATTCCAATACACGAATTAAATATTAAATATCAGTTTATTTGATTTAAAGTTAAAAGATTTATAATCTTGTATGAGATTTAATTCTTTAATATCTCTCCCCCTCTCTGCTTGTTTGACCAATATATGTTTTTATCTCTGAGTATCTGAATTGATAAAATAATACATTAAAATTACATGAAATATGTTAAACATTCCTTGCAATGCATCAAACATAATTACTTTCAGTCACTGCATGTTGCATCATACATAATTCTGCATAAACAAGTACATACATAGTTCTATAAAATCTAGGTAAAAATTGTTTATTCCAATTTATTCATAAGCATTATTGAGTTCATATTTTTTTCTATTCTTATTTCTTCCAATACAAAATATTCAAAACGTATTAATTGGAACAAAATATTTATAATCACTTAGGAAAATAACATTTGCCACTTAATACTTTTGTACATTCTTCCTTTGTGATCTATCTTCATTCAGAATTATGTAAAATTACTTATTTTATCTTCCATACTTTTGATAATTTTACCATTAGGTAATTTATAGTACAATTTACATAAAATTTGAAATAGTATTTGTCACTTTCGTTTACTATACTATAATATCTTTGGCTAATGTTACATTTTTTCTTTTCAGTGCGCTTCTATTCATTATTGTAGCTTCTGAGAATACGCAATCAAAACATTATTCGTCTTTCAAGAAAAATGAAACTTCTAAGACTTACGATAATGATACGTTAATTGATATGGGACCTGATAATTTAGATACATCCACAATTTTAATTAATGAACTACAGGATTTACGCAACGTGGAAAGAAATTACAAGGATCACTATTATCATGTAAGGACAGCAATTAAATAGCTATTAAGACATTACGTATAATTAAAAATCATTGAGTTGTTNAGTTGGAATAACTGATTTTAAGAGAATTAAGAGAAATGATAATATAAAAAATCGGCAGTTCGAATGATAAATAAAGCTGTATTGTTTTTGAAACTGCGGGATATTTTCTCATAAACTCAAGATTATAATTTGATTAAAAATTTTGTGTTTACTGATTTGAATTGGTATGTTTAAAAATTTAGGAAGAATTCACTGAAGAACCTACTGGGTTTCAAACTGTTACGAATGATGAAACAAGGAAAGCAGAGAATCCTTACAAAGATCCAGATATCGTGGCTGAAAGTCTTACACAACAACCTAATTTATCTCAGGGGTAAGTCATTATTATGTCAATATTATACAAGAATATCCTATTACACTCGGTGACGTAAGACTGGGATAAAATGTTTAATCACGTTCTGGTTTTCTTAGTGTTCCCACTTTTTTCTTATGTTCTCTGCTTCCCTTTAGATCACAAACTATACGCAGTTTAAGAATCATATTATTATATGCACAAAATTGAATATATTATGTATTACAGGATGTTTTATGGTCAATCTTTATTACAGTACTTTATTAATCAACAGAAAATCTTATATAATATGAATACATAGCCTCAAATGGTCATTGTATATAGTTTCCAAGAAAGTTTTTTAATAAAAATTTACAAGCTCACATTTAATTTATACTCCCAGACAAAAAGATAGCATGCGTGTATTATGTTTAATTTCCCGTGTTAAAATTACGTTAGCGTGGAAACTCTGTGTAGTATGTAAAACTTATCTCCTGCGAATATGCAACCAGAACATATATTTACTTTAATTCAATGATTTCTCTTAGTTGGAAGGGTAACACGTAATCCGACGCAGTGGCATCCGACAAAGTGATAGCACACTTGAAAAATAAAAATATATACAAGGTGTGTCATCTAACGTTTGCACCTCAAATATCTTTGTTGTTTTTAAAGATATGTCAAATGTTTTAAGAATAAAGTTGTATAGTTCAGTGGGGTTCATACGATACCAAAAATATTTTCGTGTTTATGCCATTTTTTTTTAGAGATATGAAGGTTACCTGCGTTTATTTAAATGGAACTACCATTTTTTAAACACCTACGATGATAGTCTCTTTCATTAGGAATTCAGTGACTATAATTATTCAAAGTCATTCAAGGTCACAGTCGGAGAAAATGTTTCGTCAGAGTCCGTTTACAGCAGTGTATCGATGTAAATGGCCATTATTTCGAACATTTATGAAATATTACGTTGTCAAGTATGAAATGGAGCAAAAAATGCACACAATTGAATTCGATTTTTTTCCAATAAAAACATTTTGTTTTTAATCTAAGTATGCACCCATATTATCGATACACTTTTGCCATTTTAGAGGTAACTCATTTATCCCTTTGCTGTAGAAGCCTGGATCACGGGAGTCGATGAACTCTTGAAACGCCACTTTTACAGCCTGTGGGGAATTGAATTTTTTTCCTGATAAAAAGTTGTTTGAATTTTGAAAGAAATGATTGTTAGTGGGGGCAAAGTCTGGCGAGTACGGTGGGTGACGGAGAGTTTCCAACTTCAACTCCTGTAGCTTTGACATGATCATTCGTGCAGCATGTGGTCGAGCGTTGTTCCTTCTGTGCATCGGTCAATTCATACGGTATCCACTTGACCAGCTTTTTCACTTTACCGATTTGTGCCAAATGAGTCAAGATTGTTTGCTTTGATACATTGTACATTAATGATAATTTACGTGCACTTTGGCTGGGATTCACTTCCACAGTGGCTTTCAGGACGACATTATCCACCTGAGTCTTGGGTCGACCACGCGGTTCATTAGACAGGTCGAAATCTCCCGAACGAAATTTTTTAAACCAACGAGCTACAGTCGCGTTTGTAGCCACTTGAATACCGAACACACTATTGATATTGGCGACTGCCTGCCGTGTTGTGGCTCCACGGTGGAACTCATACTTTATCAACACACGAATTTCGCTGATTTCCATGGTCTCACTTAATCGCTTATACAAAAAAACTATTGCAAATTTTTTCAAACTAAAATATGAGTTAGAAAGAGGAAAAGATGTACCTTTTACACGAAAAACAAATTATGAAAAAATACGGCGTCTACATGAAATTGTGTGCGATTGAAATAAAGAACATAAAGTTTGCTCCATTTCATACTTGACAACCTAATATCCATATTATCGATACACTTTTGCCATTTTAGAGGTAACTCATTTATCCCTTTGCTGTAGAAGCCTGGATCACGGGAGTCGATGAACTCTTGAAACGCCACTTTTACAGCCTGTGGGGAATTGAATTTTTTTCCTGATAAAAAGTTGTTTGAATTTTGAAAGAAATGATTGTTAGTGGGGGCAAAGTCTGGCGAGTACGGTGGGTGACGGAGAGTTTCCAACTTCAACTCCTGTAGCTTTGACATGATCATTCGTGCAGCATGTGGTCGAGCGTTGTTCCTTCTGTGCATCGGTCAATTCATACGGTATCCACTTGACCAGCTTTTTCACTTTACCGATTTGTGCCAAATGAGTCAAGATTGTTTGCTTTGATACATTGTACATTAATGATAATTTACGTGCACTTTGGCTGGGATTCACTTCCACAGTGGCTTTCAGGACGACATTATCCACCTGAGTCTTGGGTCGACCACGCGGTTCATTAGACAGGTCGAAATCTCCCGAACGAAATTTTTTAAACCAACGAGCTACAGTCGCGTTTGTAGCCACTTGAATACCGAACACACTATTGATATTGGCGACTGCCTGCCGTGTTGTGGCTCCACGGTGGAACTCATACTTTATCAACACACGAATTTCGCTGATTTCCATGGTCTCACTTAATCGCTTATACAAAAAAACTATTGCAAATTTTTTCAAACTAAAATATGAGTTAGAAAGAGGAAAAGATGTACCTTTTACACGAAAAACAAATTATGAAAAAATACGGCGTCTACATGAAATTGTGTGCGATTGAAATAAAGAACATAAAGTTTGCTCCATTTCATACTTGACAACCTAATACATTGCATACTTTAAATCTTATACGTTTTTATATACGTCATTACATTATACATTCATATGTATATGTCATTGCATAACAATATATACACCAAGCTATATTTCTTTAATAATATGTGGATCCTCCTTTGTTTTCTATGGCTTCCACCATCCTTTTAGGTAAAGAATTACATAGTTCTTTAATTTCTACCTGAGCTAAATTTTCGCATACAGTTGTAATGCACGTTTTTAATTTATTTATATTTGAAAATTATTGGCCTTCAGCATACATTACTTGCGAAAGCAGTGCCCAGTAATTTTCAATGATATTAAGGTCGGGTGAGCAGGCTGGCCATTGAAGAGTGGAAATATTTTCGTTTAAAAAATATTCCATAACAATTTTAGCAGTTTGTACTGTAGCAATATCTTGTTGGAATATAAATAGTGTTACAGCAATGCGTTCTCTATATGTATAAATTTGGTTTTTTATTAGTTGCAGACAACAGACACTGTTCATGGTGCCTTGAATAAACTGAATGTCTATCTTCCATTTGTATCCGACACCAGCCCAGACCATTACTCCACCTCCATGCATTTGACGTCGAATTTTTGTTAGTGGTTGCTTACGAATATCACTATAATAATATGTACATCCTTCTGGTCTATCAACCTCATTTCCTCTGTAAAAATTACTGTCCTCCAAGTCTTTCCAAAGTACATGTTCTTTTGCAAATAACAAAAGTGCCTCCTTATGTCTTGCGTTTAATGATGGCTTTGCTATTATTCTAGACTGATTTATAATGTTACTATATAGTCTGAAGTACACATTGAGCATTTTGTATATTTGTTTCGATTCCAGCTTTTATAGCGATCTCCCTCGCAGCAGCACAAAAATTGGAAGCAGCATGTATTATTGCTCGTGGGTTGCGTTCAAATAATGCTGCTGGCTTAATGGCTGAACTTCTCTTCTTTCCGTATGCACTTGGATCTTTCAACCAATTATACACGGTGTCTTATTTTAATCTTTACGCGATCTTCTCGAAAAATATTCATTTTTTGAAAAAAATGTTTAAACGAAACATACTCTATTCGAAGAGGGACATGTAATGGTGGACACTGTTTTTTTCTAGATGGAAGCGCCTCCGAGATTCGAAGGTGACCTTTGTTTTTTTAAATGGAAATGTGGTTTTTTTTTACCCTGTACATATAGCTTAGCTCAAGTTGAATTCATTGATCTACAATATATGTTGACCTTGAAATGTCATTCAAGGTCATTTCAATGGCTTGCAGTTTTCTTACACTCCACGTCCAGGAAATGTTTCTTATCTTCTATATTCGATTGATTATTGATATTAATGTTTACAAACACAGAATATCTGCTAGCAGAACAACCTCAAGTAATAATACCATTGATATTCATGTTTACAAACACGATATATCTGCTAGCAGAATATCTTCTAGTTGCTTCAAAGCAGTGAGTAGGTAGATACTACAAGCGTTCTTCATCAATTCAATTTTACGATTGCTGATTATATGCCTAATGAAATAGTTGACATGATTTTGATTTTGGGAGAATGTCAACGAAGTTATAGGGCAGCTGCCCAAATATATCGGGAAAGATTTCCGGATTGCCAGCAGCCAAGTGCAGTCGTTATCAGAAATTGTGACATTCGCGCTCAGCAAGGATTTTTACATCGACGTCGTCATGTGCAACGTTCAGAAAGACCGGAAATTGTAACGTTGGCCGCAGTAGCAGCAAATCCTCATAATAGTACCCGGCTCATCGAAAATAGTATCGGCGTATCACGATCTACGATGTCAAGAATCTTTCGGTGGTATCGTTTTCACCCGTATCACATTTCTTTACATCAAGCATTGAGTGGTGCCGATTATTGTGCCAGATTAAGATTTGGACAATGGTCTCAGCGTAGGATAATGCGTGATCCTTTCTTCTTCTCCTATGTGCCATTTTTGGACGAAGCGACTTTTAAAAACACGAAGTGAATTGTCACAATTTCCATTATTCGAGTGATGAAAATCCTCAGTGGCATCGAGCAATTGAACATCAGCGTCAATGGTCTCTAAATGTTTGGTGTGATATTGTTGGTGGCCTTTTAGTGGGTCCATATTTTTTTAATGGTACTCTAACTGGGGAACGATACAATAATTTCCTCCGTAATGAGTTTCAAATTCTTTTGGCAAACCTTTCCACTGGCAACCAGAGTGTGGATGTGGTTCCAGCACGACGGTGCTCCAGCTCATTACGATCGCCTCGTTCGACAAACATTAAATGAAATGTTTCCTAGACGGTGGGTAGG